ACCCAATGTGAGTGCCGGGGTGGGGAGCGGGGCTGTGCCGTGGGGCCGTGCCGTGGGGCTGTGCCGTGGGGGCATGTCTTCACCCTGCCCTGTGCCCGCAGCCGGGCTGCCTTTCAGCTTCTGGATGGGCCGGCACGACGAGAGGCACTACTACTGGGGGGGCTCGCGGCCGGGCATCCAGCGCTGCGCCTGCGGGCTGGACAAGAACTGCGCAGACCCCAAGTACTTCTGCAACTGCGACGCCGACCACGCGCTGTGGTGAGCAGGGGGGGGCTGTGGGATGGGGCAGCGGGCACGGGGGGGGGGGCATAGGATGTGGGGTTCAGGCTGGAGGTCACTGGAGGTGCAGGTGGTGAAGGGGGAGAAGCCCCTCATGCTCCCCCTACCCCCCCCCAACGCACACACCATTTACAGGAGGACGGACAAGGGTCTGCTGACCTTCGTGGACCACCTGCCCGTCACCCAGGTTGTGGTGGGAGACACCAATCGCTCCGGCTCTGAAGCCCAGTTCCTGCTGGGTCCTCTGAGGTGCTACGGAGACCGTGAGTGACCACCGGACCCACAGGAGGTCCCCTGCCCATGGGGGTCCCATGGAGGGTCCGTGCCCGCCCCTCACTACCCCTCCTGCTCCCCACAGGGAACACCTGGAACACCGTCTCCTTCAACAGAGGCGCAGCCCTGCTCTTCCCCACCTTCCAGGCCAACCACAGCCTTGACATCTCCTTCTACTTCAAGACCACTGCCCCCTCCGGTGTCTTCCTGGAGAACCCTGGCACCCGAAACTACATCCGCGTTGAGCTCAACAGTACGGGCAGGTGGGGGGTGGCAGGGCATGGGGGGTGGCAGGGCTGGGGGCTCCTCCTGACACCGTGTCCCTGCAGCCACCAGGGACGTGGTGTTCGCCTACGACATCGGGAACGGGGATGAGAACCTGACGGTGCGGTCGGTGGTGCCCTGGAACGACGACGAGTGGCACCAGGTGAAGGCTGAGCTCAACGTCAAGCTGGCACGGCTACGGGTGGACAAGCTGCCCTGGGTGGTGCGGCCAGCACCCCCCCAGAGCTTCGTCCGCCTGGACTTCGACCGGCCCCTCTATGTCGGTGAGAGCCCCCGGGCCGTGTCCCCGTGTCCCCACGTCCCCCTGGTCCCCACTGGGCACTGAGCTTCATCCCTGCTGCAGGTGCGGCGGAGCACAAGATGCGCCCGTTCCTGGGGTGCCTGCGGGCGCTGCGGATGAACGGGGTGACCCTCAACCTGGAGGGTAAGGCCAACGAGACGGAAGGCGTGCGGGTCAACTGCACCGGGCACTGCCAGGACCCGCCAGTGCCCTGCCAGAACAGCGGGCTCTGCGTGGAGCGCTACAGCCATTACAGCTGCAACTGCAGCATCTCCGCCTTCGACGGGCCCTTCTGCAACCACGGTGAGTGGTGGCTGTGGCTGCTGACACCGACGGTGGGGACCCTCCCCTGAGGACCCTCCCCGGGCCAGGATCGGGGAGAGGAGCTGTTGCTCCCGTCACCCGGTGTGTCCTCCCCCCACTCCCCCAGATATCGGTGGGTACTTTGAGGAGGGCACCTGGATACGGTACAACATCCTGCCCATGTCACTCTACGCCGCCCGCGAGTTCGCCAGCATCATCAGCAGCCCCTGGGAGCCCCTGCCCGGCTACAACCTCACCAGCGAGGAGGTCAGCTTCAGCTTCAGCACCACCTCGGCACCCGCCGTGCTGCTCTACGTCAGCACCTTCGTCAAGGACTACATGGCCGTGCTCATCAAGGATGACGGTGAGGGCAGGGCTCCCCTCCCCGGGGCTCACCCAGAGCCCGCAGGACCTCCCTGGGTGCTGGGACCCTGCCCTATGGAGGGGGGTGGTTGGTGCCAAGGGATGAGACCCCACCACCAGCCCCGCTCTGCCCGCAGGGAGCCTGCAGCTGCGCTACCAGCTGGGCACCAGCCCCTACGTCTTCGCCCTCACCACCAAACCGGTGACAGACGGGAGGCCCCACCGTGTCAACATCACCCGCCTGCACCGCACGCTGTACACCCAGGTACGGGGCTGCGGGGTGGGGGGCAGGCTGGGGGGCACACGGGCAGGGTGGCAGGAGGAGGGTCAGCGGGCGCTGACACTGTGTGCCCATTTCCCAGGTGGACTATCTGCCCGTGATGGAGCAGCAGTTCTCCCTGTTCGTGGACAGCAAGCTGGACTCCCCCAAAAACCTGTACCTGGGGCGCGTGATGGGTGAGCGGGGTCCTGCCCTCGGCCACCCCCTGCCATGCTGGGATCGCTGGGGTCTTCTCTGCCCAGCAGGGCCCTCGCCCTCCGCGGTGGATGAGCCTTCTCCTTCTGTGCCCCCCCAGAGACCGGCGTGATCGACCCCGAGATCCAGCGCTACAACACGCCCGGCTTCTCAGGCTGCCTCTCAGGGGTGAAGTTCAACACCCTCGTCCCCCTCAAAGCCATCTTCCGCCCCACCAGCCCCCTGCGGCCCTACAGCATCCGGGGGGAGCTGGTGGAGTCGAGCTGCGCCTCCATGCTCCCCCTCACCACCATCCTCATCCCCCCCGAGATGGACCCCTGGTACATGGGCACAGGTAGGTGCCGTGGTGGGACCCCGGAGGTGGGGGGGGGAGTCCCCTGGTGAGTGTCACCCACAGAGGGGGTGCCCCAGTGCGAGACCCCCTCAGCCACCCCACTCTATCTCTGCAGAATTCCCCCATGTGCACGACGACGGTTGGATCGGGATCATCATCGGGTGTAAGTAAAGCCCCAGTCGTGATCTTCTTGCTCCTGCTGATCGGGGGAGCGCTGGTGCTGCTCTACTTCTACTACCACCGCTACAAGGGCTCCTACCACACCAACGAGCCCAAGGCCATCCAGGACTACGGCAGCGCTGCCAAACCCCTCTCGGCGCGCAAGGACCAGAACCTGCCCCAGATCCTGGAGGAACCCAAAGCGGACTAGCAGGGCCGGGGGGGGAGAGGGTGGGACGGGCTCGTAGCCCCCGCAGCCCTGGTTGCTGCCCTGGGGACGAGCCAGCGTCGCGGGACCAAAGGGCCGAGCACACCTTGAACTGCCAACACCCGCCTGGGGGCTGCACCGCACCGACCCACGCTCTGCCCCACGGCCGCCGCCGACCCGGCCCCGGAGCGTGGCCGTGACCCCCAGCCCCGCTCACCCCGGGGTTGGGCAGGCAGCCCCCGCTGCTGCCTCCCACCAGCTGCCAAATCCTGCCCTACCTCCGGCGGGGAACCCCCCCCCGGGGCCGGGCAGCCACCCCCTTACCCTCCTCGAAGGGGGGAGCGCCCCAAACACCCCCTTAGCGCCGCGTAGATGCCCCGCTGCTTCGCTCGCTTCGCCAGAGCCACGACGGACGCCACGCGCTGCCCGGCCCCCACGGGACCCCCCCCCCAACTCCCCCCTGGGGGCACCCCAAGCAATACCCTGCCCTGCCGGCGACGGCCGCCGCTGCCGCGCATGAGGCCACCGCACTTTGCTGAGATGCTGCTTTCATACGATCAGGTACGGATCCTTTCTACCATTTTTTTTGTTGCTGGAGATTCTACGACACTCTGGTTTTTTTATTCTATATCGGTTTGTATAAAAATCCAAACGGAAGCTGCTGTCGGGTGTTTACGTTCCGCGCGTCGTGGTAACGTGGGCTGTAGTTTGCTCCTTCTCTGTACGAGGTGCCCGTCCTGCCGATTACCTCCAGCCCAGGGAAAGCTCCTGTTCACTCGCTGTATTTGTGGTAAGACGACGTTACAGAAATGCATTTATCTACCCAAAGGCCTGGCTCCACTGGGCACTTTATTTTTTAGAAAACCTCTTTTTGTTGAATGAGATGTGAAGATATTCAAATAAAGGCAGAATGACGGTGTTTTGACACTCCCCAGCCTTTGCTTGGGGGGAGCAGCCTCTCAGCCTGGGGAGGGACCGGCACGGACAATGGCAATTCCCGATCCGGGATACGGGATGCAGAGAACTGGGGCTGGATGCAACTCATCCCACTGCCACGTGAGGGGTACCCAGCCCTTGTACACACACGAGGACGTCCTGCCCTCCCTCATCTCTGCTGGGCTGAGCCCACAGCGGGCAGGGACGGGCAGGGACGGGCAGGGGACGGGCAGGGGACGGGCAGGGGACGCTGCCAGCTGCTCCCGGGGGTGACAAGAGGCCAGCAAGCCACGGGAGGATGGTCACTACCACTTTATTGTGACAAAGGCTACAAGCCACACTATTTTTAAAGTGCATTATTATTCACTGTCAACGAACCACAGACAGAAGCCTGGCGTAGTGCAGATATGGCCAAAGTGGCGGAGGACGCTGAGCCGAGAGCGGGGCCGGGGTGGGGGGGAACAGAGGTGATGGGGAGAGGGGGGGGTCAGGCAGGTGCTGGGGTACAAGCGCTGCTCCAGACAGACCCAACAGCGGGCAGGGACGGGCAGGGACGGGCAGGGGACGGGCAGGGGACGGGCAGGGGACGCTGCCAGCTGCTCCCGGGGGTGACAAGAGGCCAGCAAGCCACGGGAGGATGGTCACTACCACTTTATTGTGACAAAGGCTACAAGCCACACTATTTTTAAAGTGCATTATTATTCACTGTCAACGAACCACAGACAGAAGCCTGGCGTAGTGCAGATATGGCCAAAGTGGCGGAGGACGCTGAGCCGAGAGCGGGGCCGGGGTGGGGGGGAACAGAGGTGATGGGGAGAGGGGGGGGTCAGGCAGGTGCTGGGGTACAAGCGCTGCTCCAGACAGACCCAAACCCCCCCCCCC